ATATATATATATATATATTCGTTTCAAAATCTTAAATCAAAACTTGAAACCCGAATATTACAAAAAGAGATCTCGACTCTTGATCACTTTTAATCTCGCCTTCATCCTATGAATTCCACTTCTCACGAGAATTAATCTGGTGCATCTTGGTGCACTGTGTTAATRTTGATTTTCAATTAGGAATGATCCAAGGATGGAGATCCCTTCTTGCTATTCTCACCATAACTTTCATTATCATTGAAACCTAATCCTATATATATATATACACACACACACACAAACAAAGAGAGAGAGAGAGAGAGAGAGAGAGAGAGAGAGAGAGAGAGAGAGCAGGGAGTTCCTTTGGGAACCCAAACTTGATTAGGAACCCGAGAACCACTCACAGTACGCTACGTGTTCCTTATTTGAATGAATAATTTTCTTGAATATTACAATCATGATTAATATGTAAGTGTTATTCRTCATTAATCACACATTCATGATGAATAAAAATGTGTTAGGCATCATTAATCATACATACACATCTATAAAAATATTAGGTGGTGATCTATGACAGTTCCAGTGTTCATAATGAACTTTAGGTTCCTAACTAAACCTACTCCGAATAAATTACACCTACATCTTGCTCATAATTGCGATTTTTATAGTCACAACTATGTTTTATATTCAGTCCACAAGCTGCTCAATCATAAACAAAGCAAATGAAAYCTGAATTTAACAAAACCCTATGTTCTTGAACAAATAACTAAATGACARCACTATCCATCAAGATAAATATAWWTGACATATTTYATTTCATTTCTCACCGATCTAAGAGCATAACCTTCTYCCCTTTTCTTTCAAGAACAAAAATACATTTTTCCTTTCTGTTACCTTTTCTCTCTCTTTTATTTTTATCTTTCCAAATTCGAAAATTGAGTGTTATGAATATTAACACCCCCAAAGCCCAAARCAACGGATTGACTCAATAACTTCGAATCCAACTTAAAATCATGATGAAAGTTATTGATAGTCCACTACTTGAGACTTATAATGAGCTAACAATTATCACATTCTATTCATGTGGGACGAATTGTTACAAACTCCTCCACTTAAACTCTTGGTGTCCTCGTCAGGCCTACCGGAATCTTCTTATTTATCATCGGCAATGTGGGATTCGCGTAAGATGTTACAAGCACCCCACTTCTAGGACTCATCATACCCGATCGATTCTGATACAATTTGTAACACCATAAAGCTTAAAGCAACRGAYTGACCCAATAACTTCGAATCCAACTTAAAATCATGGTAGAATTTACTGGTAGCCTACTACTTGAGAYTTATAAGGAGCTAACAATTACCACATTCTATTCATGTGGGACGAGTTGTTACATGAATTAAGATATTTCAACAACCAACAACATTTTATTTTCAAACCATGCTAAAATTATGAATGATATGGTTATAGCTAAATTTATTTATTTAATATGACAATAATAAAGTATAAACAAAACATTATTATACGATCATATKATATTTGAAAAACAATGATTAATCTAAATATCAAGAAATACAATTTCATAAAAAAAATTTATCTTCTAGTCTTCAAATTGAAATCAATAAATAGGGTGATTCGGCAACTAAATGGCCGCTTTAACGACGATCGTTGAGTTATTTATCGCTTTATAATAATAAAACGTCTCGGGTTTTGTTTCAATGGAAGCTAGTAATACCATTTAGGGTTTAGGTACAAAAAATACTTATTAAATGTTATATACATATGGTGGGGTGAGTTTTGTTAATGAAAGTTATAGTGAAAAACATAGGAAAATATCTTCACCATCAAGATGCACTAGATCAATTCTTTTTTAAAGCGCAATTCACGGGTGAGATACGAGAGTAAAAGTGATAAAGGATTCAAATCTTTTGTTACGCTTTTCAACATAACTTCTCTTCTCATACGATCTTTCTTCTATATATGGGTGGGTTCGAGTGAGAAGCGTAAGAAGTAATATTCACTATTGGATGCACAWGAGGATGAAATGCACCGTGAGAATGCACCAGATCAATCCCCGTATCAAGCACGATTCATGAGTGAGTTTGAGATTAAAGATGATCAAGGGTCCGAATCCCTTCTCACGCGATCTTTCATGTGTGTGTGTGTGTGTGTATATATATATATATATATATAAGGTTGAGTTTCGGTGAGCAGGAAAGTTAAAGTGAGAAGCGTAAGAAATGATCTTCAGTCTTGAATGCACATTAGGATGAGATGCATCAATTACCAAGAAAAACGCAATTCATGAACGAACAAGAGATTAAATGTGATAAAGAATTGAGATCTTTTTCTTATAGTTATAATCTTAACTCTCATTCTGATACTGCTATATTCAAATTTGCTTCCTTAATTAAAATACTCCAACCGCTAACATTTGGGGTTGTATCTTGTATTTAATATATCACCACAATTATTATATAAGAATAAGAATAGAAAGAAAAGAAAAGAAAACTTGGATATGATTTATATGCATTTGCAAAATAAAATACATGATTTCAGTTGACCCGGCTTCAATGAAGAATATATTCAATGAAGCTTTCTCATTCAAGTTCTTTTTATCATCAACCGATATTAATATTTTTAGCACATTAAAGTTATTTTTATGATTAGGAAAATAAGAAATCGATTGAAACACAAATATTATCTTTTTATATTTATTTTAGGAGATTTTAACGAGACAACATTTGTTTACTTCCCCAACCAATGTGGGATCTTAATATCTATCCCCAACGTCCTTGTTGACACACCAATCCGCTTCCCGATTCATACTGGTGCCATTTGTAACATCCCAAGTAAACCATACCAAATATTGTATGTTTTATCCACACATCTAGACTCATGATTTTATTACTTATCGATYCGTTATAAAATATTATTRTTTACCAATTAAGTAATAAATTATTGCATATTATCTTCTTTAAAGATATACTATATATGCTATAAAACTTGATCCTAAAAATAAATGGCAAAGAAGCAACATCTAAATCCGGTTTTCAAAGTGTTGGTGAGTCGCGTTTGCTGGTGCGATCTGTGCCCCCATTCGTAAAATCGAACCGAATGAAACCCCTTCTTCCCTTATTTTTAACACCCAACACTTTCTTGCTTTTGGGCTCTCTCTCTCTCTCTCTTAAATTTTTTATTTTCTTCGCAAAGTCCTCAAGAACGCTCTCACCTGCGATAGCAACCTCACTTGAGATATACCCATTTGAAAGGTGAATTATTTCTTACCATCATCTCTTGATCATCAACTACACTTCTTAAATTATGTGTTTGTTTCTTGCATTTTTCGTTTTAATCCTCTTATGCCTTCGTAATCTATGCGTCTTTAACAAAGGAATCGTTATATAACAATTAAAAAGTTCGAATTTGATGCAAAAAGATCAAGACCCATTTGCTTAACTTTGCGTATTCACGTGGTCTTCGTTACGTTCAGGTTCGTATGCAACTTTTGCAAGCTTTTCTCCTCCTATTTTCTTCATCTCTTGCTTCGTTTATGGAGTCGTAACTTATTGGTTTTTAATTCGAAAGATGATCTTGATTAGTGGGTTATGCATATAAATTGGGGTTATCAGCAAATATAGGTTTTGTTTAATCTAACAATCTCCGTGTTCATCGCAAATGCTTTCAATTTAATATGTTGTGTTTAGTTCATCGCATTCATTGTTTCTATTGATGTTAATTTCGTGATAAATTTGGGATTGTTTGTGTGTGCGAGTAGTCAACATTTTTGCTATGATTTTTGGATGCAAGAACGGATCTGAGCATGGTTTAACTCTTTTGTTTGCTTATACCTCCGTACAGAAGAATGTAATATTATAACTGAGCATCAGTAAGAAGAAATCATTGGAATTTTTGGTTGAATTCGGTGAAATTTCCCAATAGAAACTTGATGAAATTTCTGTTTTGGAGGTCGAAATTTGTGAAATAGTCGATAATTCGAGGGAACTCCAAGGGAAATTTGTTGTTTTTGTTTGATGAGCTTTGAGTATTATCATTGATTTGACGACCATCTTTYGTCTTTGTTTATGTATTTTGTTTCAATAAATCCCTTCATTTWATCGCATTATATATATTRCAAGAAGAAATGATCCCAAGGAAGGAAGATTGGTGAACAGAAAAAGAAAGCATAAATCGTCATCTGATCGAACCTTCACCACGGTCACAACACTGATATCGAGCTTCATTCTTAGAACCATGATAATGGTTTAGTTCAACGCCCTTGAAAACTAAGAAGAATGACACCCTTTAGAGGATCATACGAGCTTCTTATAAATGGAACTTTTGAGATTTAGGAATTCTGAGAATAAATGGCTCTTCTTTTTGTGTTTTGCCTCTATGGGTATCGCATAACTTATTTTATTTACCAGTTTTATGTAATTTAAAGCATTCGAAATTGGGTGTTTGTACGCTAACATGATCAAGAAATCAAAAAATGATGTCCTTTTAGGTAGCTTGTTATTTAAATATGGCATCTTGCAATCTTTTCATGTTCTAATTGAAACTTGTAACTCACAACGTCCTTTCTTTCCATGTTTGGTTGTGGATTAGATGGATAACGATAAGAAACATGTTGATAAACGTGCTGAGTGGCTCCAAACGGAACAATCTTCTGCTGCTGGTGACGTTTTTGGAGAGCCGCAAAAGACTCCTAGAATTGGAGACGAATACCAGGCTCAAATCCCTTCTTTAATGAAAGAAAGCGAGCTATTACAATCAGGGTTACCAGTGTGTCATGATGCCAAAACCGATGTGCAAAACCAGTTTGAATTTGGTCTGTCAATTCCCATCATTTGGGTATCTGGTCTTTTAGGTTCTGGAAATGACACTGATTTGCTTCCCGTTCCTGGTTCATCAGGTGAATCTTGGAACGTTATTGAACATGATAGTTTTCTTCTTGGTTTATATATATTTGGCAAGAATCTTCGTATTGTGAACAAATTTGTTGGAAATAAAGGAATGCCAAATGTATTGTCTTACTACTATGGAAAGTTTTATAGAAGTGGTGAACACCAAAAATGGTCAACGTATCGAAAGAAAAGAAGTAGGAAGTCTGTTCCTGGAAAAAAGATTTTCAACGGGTGGAGACGACAAGAGCTATTATCTCGCTTACTTCCTAATGTCACAGATGAATGCAAAACCAGTTTGACACAGGTATTTTCCTATGATCTCGTTCTTCATTATCACTTATATGTTATATAGCAATATAGGGTGTTTTTCTATATTGGGATTTTCTTCATTAAARCCTTGTGATTTTTCGTAAACTTCAATGGGATCATGCATCTTTTTGGAGTCATTCAGTTAAATGACCTTAAATGAGATTTCAATTAGGAGCACGACCTTATAAATTTCGTATTTTTTAACTCAATAACGAACTTGAGAAAACCTTTGATGGTTATTTTGTAAGAKTGACTTCCATAGAAGGTTATTTAACTAAATATCCCCATTTGTGGTTGCCTATATAAGCAACCCTAGTCGTCGTTTACTTGATCTTGATGACAAGTTATAAGGSGTCCTTCATTTAACCTTTCTACAGGCTTGAGAATGCGACTGCTTAACAGAAGAATGCCTAAAAACTTGCCMGAAGATCATAGATTTAAAAAGTAACTGTGACAATGTCATTAAGCTATATAACCGAGTTATATATAAGCTGTTAGGCTTCTTCTGTGTATATGCATCTTTCGCTTTTTAGGCCCTAACCAACGTCAAGAAAGTGGGACTCATAATCTTGTCTTTATTTCTCTTTACGTAGTATGAAATAAAGATATTAAATCTAAACGACCCAAATGAACGCAACATTATTTCCAAGATTCCCATTCTTGGGAATTTCGAATTTGATCTGTTTCTTTAATCTTTGCACAAGAAAGATCTTGCATTTACTACAGTAATTGAAGGAAATCTGATGTTGTTAACGATCTATGATCKCTTCCAGATGACTAGAACATTCGAGGAGGGAAATCTTTCGTTTGAGAAGTACGTTCTCACTCTAAGGGATACAGTCGGCATCAATCTTCTAGTAGAAGCCATAGGAATTGGCAAAGAAAAGCGAGATCTTCTTACTAGCAGGGCCAAGAAACCATTGAAGAACAAGAAGCTTCATGCTGCATGCTCCTCTTTAGAAACAGAAGAAATTCTCAATCTTTTGAAGGATGGCATTGGATTAAGCAAAGAAAGATTAAACGATCTCTTCTGGGAAGCTGTTTGGCCTCGTCTTTTGGCAAGAGGATGGCACTCAGAACAGCCAAGAAACTATCTTTTCCAAAAATCGAAGCATTCTTTGGTGTTTCTTGCACCCGGGGTCGAAAAGTTTTCTAGGAGGAGTCTGGAAAGAGGAAGTCAATATTTCGATTCATTCACTGATGTCTTGCATAAAGTTGCATCAGAACCGCAGCTTCTTGACCGCCAACCAGACCAGGACCAGGTGRTGCACCAGTGTGCGAAACAGGGCTCAGATGATAAACAAGATTTGATGAAATACACGATCGTGGATACCAGTTTGGTCGGGGCTGTTAAAGTGAAAGAACTCAGAAGTTTGCCTGTTTTTGAACCTGCCGATATACAAGCGTCGTCTAGTGTTTCTGGAGACAACGAACCAGAAACAGCAGAAGAATCTCGAAACAAAGATGCGAATCATGGTGGTGTCGATTCACCGGATTCTGAAACCATGGTGAACCATCTTGTTCCAGTGGTTTCAAGAATTGAAGATAAGAAGATGGATATTTCTACCAATGGGCAATCAGTAAGAAAACTGAAGTTGATATTCAAACCGAAAGCAAAACGGCTCCGGTTTACTAATCTAGCAGAGCCYATCTTAGAAAATTCCAAGCCAATGAATACTAGAAATGAAAACTCRAATGGTGAAGATGAAGCAACAGAGAAGAAGCGTAAAAGTATAGTGATAGACTTGAACAACCCTCGAGTGGCTCCAGGTTTGGATGGTGATGGCTCGTTGCTTTCTACTAAACCATCGGTTTCTTCTGAACCAACATCGAATCATGGTGCGAACACAGATCAGTATCCRGTTACAAATGGTCAAAGACAGAGTACAAGAAACCGTCCATTGACCACAAAAGCTTTAGAAGCTCTTGCTAATGGATTCTTGAACCCGAAAAAGAAGAGGAGAGGGTTGGAGGAGAGGAGCCGGAGGCGGGTTCGTGCTAAAACGGCTCTTGTCTCGAGCTGTGGTGCACGGTTTATCGAAAACCGGGTGGAAGGAGTCTTTAGTGGTAGTTCCCATATGGTCAGTGAGTCTCCAAAATGAGACGAAATGGAGTCTTTAGGGTTTGATTTGAAGCTAAAACAGCTAGTTTGGTGTCAAAWGGTTGTTTCTTCTAGAGTTGTAGGTGTAGGTTTTCTTGCTTGGTTTCAATCTGAACTCGGTGACATGGTCATGAGTTTGAGTTTTATATGAACCTTTTGAGTTTATTTCGTATTTAGCAAATATAAATTTCAGACCATCTTTTAGAASTATAGATTATAATAATACAAGGAAATGTAGAGGGAAGTTGAGATGAGAATACGAAATCACATGTGATTTTACACCAACGGTCAATGCAAGGGTGACGACATGGCTTGTGGCCAAAGTTGCGTGTGATTTTAGTGTATGTGATTTGACTGTTTTTGATGAAATATAAGATTTAAAAAATAAGTAGCAATGGTTTTATAACAATAAGCACAAGCACAAGGACATTTGCATCCACAATGAACTTCATTTAGTAGGCCTTTCTGTGTAAATTCTAAAGGAGGTATCGTATTTGAATGTAGAATATACGTAATGGAATATAAAAAAAAAAGATTGTGTAGAATAGATGATGTTAAAAAAGTTGTATTTACCAAATCAGATAGGTTAATAATTAGTAGAGATAAATATAATCAAAATGGAAACTAAATATACAAATTTTGAGTTTTTTTTATTTCTCACATTTCAATGCTTTCATTCATAAAAAAAAAATTGATCTCAGAACATAAGAAATATATATGCATATACCTCTAACGAGCTGTTTGGCAGTTGTTAAATGATTTAGTGCTGAATGAAATAATGTTGTTTGGTAACTATTCTCTGAATAACAACAAATTACCATTTTAACCCCATGAAATTTCAACATACAGCATAACCCCATGAAATTTCAGTGCACATACAGTAGACTTGTGACAAGAACTACTATGAAAAGCATAACCCCATACTATGAAATACTACAGCATGAATACATTCTGTTGGTTTCCTCGAAAATCAATAACCATGTCCAGATAACGACATTGATAATAATATGTTGTTTCCTTTTTCTTGGGGTAAACCTGAAGCAGTAGGGGAGGAATAACCTCATCCAGATAACTACAGTTCACCAAAATCATAGCAGTAGGGGCGGAAATATCTGAAGCTTGCGAGGAAAAAGATGGAGGCGACCAGAGACCTGTTGGAAGAAGGCGACGTGAGACAGCAACCGGAGACGGCGACCGTGGGACCTGCTGGAAAAAGAACACCGATGATCGTGTGTGGGGGGGAGCGATTTGAAGACTGGCGATCGTGTGTGGGGGGAGTGATTTGAAGACCGGCGATGTGTGAAAGAACGTTGGGTAGAGAGTAGAGAGGACAAAGTTGGAAAAATAGAAATTTGAATGGTTTAGTGAAGCCCTAGACGCAAAATGGTTAAGAGAGGTAATGTAACCATTAAGAGCCATTTTTTTTTTGCCAAACAACCCTCACCTCTTACCGATTAAGAGGCTGGCTCTTAACGTCACCATTAAAAGCCAAACAAACAGCCCCTGATACTTCCTTCTGCATCACATATATCAACTTCGTTTCTTTTGGAATTTTAATATTATATTATGTGTCAACTTTAACCTGAATAGAATATTAATTTTATTTATTTATGAAATTTGGATCAGAATTAACATATTCAATAAATTTTTATAATTTATTTAAAATAAAATAATAAATAAAAATCTCTAAAAATAATTACATTTAACTTCTAACACATTCTCTAACATTAATTATATTATCAAAATATTCTATAAATTTATAATTATAATACATTTTTAACTTATATAATTATAATTCAAATAATTAATTTTTCTCTACACATCAAGTCTTAGAGAATTTTCTTAACTTTGATCTTTTGTTTCTAGAACTTACCTTATTTTCTAGAGAGCAATATAAAGAGAAAAAAAAAGTCTCATTTTCTAAATGCATCTTTAACCCAATGCTAAAAACACAAAAATAGAGATATTCTCGTCTCCAAATCAACATTAATTAAAACACTAAAAAAAGTAGAGGTCAATAAAGTAGACCACCATATTTGGAGGCAATAAAGTAGGCCTCTATTTTTTATATTAATATTATAATAAGATTTTAATATTAAAAAAAATGTTTGTTAATGCGATTGCRGGATTGAAGTTGATTTTTTTAGTGTTCAATGAAACCAATATTTTAGTGTTTTTAGGTCTCGTTTGTTTTACAAGAATGAAATGTATTCAGAGGGATTTAGATTTCAAATCCCATGTTTGATTTGTTGCGTTGTCCGGAGTTGAAATCTTAAAGATTGAATTGAAATCCTATAAATATGTGATTTTGAAATCCTTAGGGGATGCTTGGGGTTTCATAAGATTGTATGAAATAAGATTTTAAAAATTGTTAAAACCATTTTATTTTATAATAATAGATCGATAAAAATATAATTTAATTATTTATAAATAATGAAATGCTAATCTATTCCAAATCCTATAAACTAAGCACATCAATTTTTTCAAATTCATTTCAATCCAAATCTCTTTATAAAATCTGAATCCCTCAAAAAACAACCATACAAATCAAACCGGCCTTTAATATTTTTTTAGTAATTGGGTTAGAGATGTTCTCATCATTATGTTATTATTACTTTTACAATTATTGTTTAAAATATTACTAATTTTTTTTTATCATCATAATATNTTATTATTATTATTATTATTATTATTATTATTGTTTTTCTATAATAAAAATACATATTAAAAAGTTGACTAAAAATTCGGAAAAATTGGCTTCTGTTTATATAAGGTATATAATTCTGGTTCATGAGCTAAGCTATTCCTTGATTCTACAAAAGAAATGATCGATGTGTTATTTTCTGAAGTTTTAAATTTGAAGTTTAAGAATTTAATAATTAATCTTCAGATTTTTAAATGATTTAATAATTAATTTTCAGATATTTTAAACCTTTTTAATTACCCATATATAGGTGCAAATAACAACCTTTAAATTTTRGACCAAATTTTCATTTTCACTAAACATTTTATCTTATTTTTTGAAAAGTCAACATTCTTATCA